TAAACAAGTGAATTACACGTGTCGCAAGAAATAGGAAAAATTTTCAAACTCTAATAGTCTTAATTATATATATGCTTTCCAAAGGTGGACATTTGACATATGAGCACGAAGGATAACTGATGTCATATGTTACCTTTCTGTTTGTAATTGTATTGTGAAAGTCTCATTAGCTGTGTTCTTTAGTACGAATCAAATGGGTGTAAAAGATATTTCCAGCAAATTTTTGCTCAAATATGGTTATCCATTAATAGCAGGATCAACGAGGATGTAGAAAGTGTTCACTATAGCAAATGTCTACCGTGATGTTTCGTCTGTAGTCATACTGTCTAAGAAACTGATCATATTGAATATCAAAAAATGAAGCATTCTATATATTTGAGCAAAAAAATTGCACAATTTGGCCTGAAGAAAAAGTTTTACATTTAATTAAATTAGCATTATAAATATAAAATTAAAATGAGTAGAAAATGAAATATTATAGTAAATAGTCAATAGTTTAAATACTCACCCATTATTTGCACAAGTGAATGTGTACTTGTACTTCTTTCTTTTATGCTTATTTGCAACATCATCTGGCCAATACACTCATTTTTAAAGTCGAAATCTAGAATTGTATATTCCATTGAAACAATGGTGCAGCCGTCCTCGATAAGTCGTCTTAATAGTTTTAACTCTAGATCAAGATTCTAATAGAATAAAAATGTGAATTAAATATATTAAGTATGTAAAAAAAATTATTACGATGAATAAACTTTACTAACCGCATTATTCATATCTTGACGAGATTTTGTATTGCAAGATGTTGATGACTTGGTGTTAGGAAGATCATTGACAAAATGTAACATTAAGGAATAGAATCGTAAGTTATGTTAGAGTTTTTCAAAACAATGATAATACAAATAATATTTTTTTTCATTGTTAAATATACCTGTCTGAAAATGAATCCATGTAATACAAATCTTAGAATCAGAGCTCAGTATTCCAATAGTCATACACAAGTCTTTCCATTAGACTGATATGTTGACACAATCTCAAAGCTAAAAAAAGGGAGAAAAAAATAATTCAAGTGCCTGTATAATCACTAACTTAGGAATAAAACTTTGTCAAGTTTTATTGCTAAAGTTTTATCGGGACCATCGGAATACCACTTTGTTGAGCAAACTTCAAATTTAGAAGAAAACTATTAGTTTTGAGATAATATATTTTTTCATAATTTATTTATTTGTTTATTGTTGTTATGAAAATGGTTTGTCACTTCGAGCGGAGATCAACCTGTCGGTCGCGGGAGTCGAAGGGGTAGCGGGGGCTTGGGGGCAATGCTCTAGAAAGGCGGGATCGACCTACCCGATCAGGTTGTGGGGTTCAAGGGGGCAGCGTCCCTTGTGGGGGCTCGAGGACAACACCCCTGACGGGGATTGACCTATGTCTCCGCGGTGCGGGGAGACACTCTCCATGTATCGGAGAATTTTTTTTTTTTTTTATGATGAAATTGAATTTACATTTTCCTTTTTGTGCTTTAATCTTCTCAATAGCATGTATAATCAGATACCATTATCTATTAATTTTAATGCTCATTATTGGCATTGTTAGAATTGCTATTCTTCTGTTATGAATTTCTGAAAATTTTAGTGTTATTCAATAAATATATGTGGGATAGTATGTTCATTTGTTTTCTCCCCGTATTATCTACTTCATCTTAAATATTTGGCAAAATTTTAATGCTTTTATGGAACTTATATATCATTGTTAATGTGTATGAAACCTGATATTACATGATAGAGCGAATAACTTTTCAACTATTCTATGTTAGGATGGTTTGTGACCGATTAGTTGCTGAAGTTATCTAGAAGACATGCTTGATTTAGTTTTATGTTTAGAGAATCTTAGGGCAATTGAGATTTGTGTTGGTTTGAAAATACACTGCACGAAGACATATATCTCCATGGTGCGCGGAGACACTATTCGCACATCGAAGAATTTTTTTTATTTTTTATAAGAGTGTTAACAATTAAGATCTTTCAATTCATCATCTTAACTTTTGCTTGCTCAAGAATTAAATAATAGTTGGAAAGGTTGTCCTCTTCGATAATTTCTGATCTCACCTGTGAACGGTCCTTTTCTTTTGGTGATATTGCAGTGATTCTAAATATATGGGCACTAATAAAAAAATAATGTAGGAATAAATACCTAACTATTCAAAGTCCGACATCGTTTTTATAGCTGATTGGAGAAAAAAATGATGTGGTATAAAACTTGAGGACTGAAGGTGTGAAAATTTGGGAAATGAACATTAACATCTTATTGGGTTACCGTTGCATCTACAGTAACCCAAAACGGCCCTTTTTATTATAGTAGGAAAAAATTGGAACTCCAACATCACAAACAGTTCGTGACCGCCATTTGGAATTAGAGAGAACTAGGTTTAGAATTTTTTCCTTTTTATCTCATGCTAGTAAGAAGTAATAATGAGTAGTGTTCTAACAAGGTCGCATATGCTCGAAACTTGGGCAAAACGCCTTGCTTCGCACCTAGCTGCTCTCGTTTCAATTTCAAAATGGTTGAATTTTTTTTTCTCTCTCTCTTTCGTCTTCCTTAGGCAAGCTTTATTAAATTTTTTATTATTTTTATTTTTTTAAAAAAGACTTTATTTGACTTTAGCTTATTAATTTTTTTAAAAAAATTATTTGAATTTAAGTTCAAGTTTTTAAAAGATTTTATCTGTAAAAAAATTAAAAATGACTTTATATAAATAGTTAAATAAGATTTAAGTTATGTTGCTATCTACATTAGGTAATTATGATATTGAGATTCATTATTTTGTTATAAACTTCGAAAGTATGTATGATTTTTTTATAAATCTATTAAATATGACTTGTCTAGTTGCAAATTAAAATTTTGAAAAATATTCTAATTTTGCATTGCGAAAACTTGAAATTTGTATAACTGACTAATGGTAAGAATTATTAAGTAAATATAGTATTTTATAATTTTATATATTTGATATGTATTATTTTAATTATTAAATCATGTTTAAAATAATTAAAATTTTAAAATACTATTAAAAATAAAAACCTTCGTAAAACTAATAGTGGAAATTACACCATTCCCTACTTTTCAAGATCTATATTCTAAAATTAGATTTGAAGTTTTATTTTTCCAAAGTCAAATATTTTTTAATGACATACAACATAAATATATATGTATATTTATATATATATATATAAATTATATTTTTAAAAAATATTTGATAATATATATATTGTAACATATTTCCCCTGTGATTTAAGTGTAATAAAGTTGGAAAACTACGTAACTTCCACGTATTTCGAAACCTCAACACACTCATCTTCTTCATAGACCTACGAGACCACGACCGCAGATTTCTTCTCTGGTGAAATCGCCATGTCATCACGTAAATTGTGATCATACCATAAAATCATCGAACTGTAGGTGTTTTCACTCCGTCGAAGTTATATATTCTACACCCAAAACTCGAAATCTATACATCGTAAACCCAAACACAAATGGCTCGTTCAAGGAGTAAAGATAGAGGGGTGAATGTAGTTGAGACATCAGATAGAAAATGTAAGAGAAAGTTGGAGAAGGTTCAAACCCTACCTCCCTCCAGCCAACTCATTTCCCCCAAACCCGTTCTCTCTCTACCTCGCCTCGCTCTCTCGCTCGTCGTCGTCACGACGATTGAAGTGACGGTCGTAGACGGTGAGGCGATGATGGACCGGTGGTGGCTGAAAATGGTGATCGTGGTGGTGGCGATGGCGTCAATCTGAAGCAGCAGCCGCCACAACCATCGTCGAGACCGTTCTTTCCTCTGTGTTTCACCCCCCCACCCACCCCTACCCTACCCGAGTTTAAAACCCTAATTTCTCCTTCTTTTTTCCGCATTTATGAAGCTAATCCATTTTTGTGCTTACCTTTATATACCGATTTTATGTGTGACGGTACGGTTTTGGAGATGATGGTAGATCTCGTGGGTGTTGGTGGTGGCGGTGCCGGCTTTTTGGGGTTTTTTTTTGTTTTTTTGTTTATGTTTGCGTGTTTCAGATTGGAGACAGTGTTGGTGGTGTGATGATAAGGTGGTGGTTGGGTGCTGGTGGTTGTGAAGTTGGCTGCAAGTGTGGTGGTATTTTGTGCAGCGACAATTCTGTGGTTGTAACTATGGTGGCAGATCTGGCGGGACCTGGTGGTTTTTGGTGGTGGTTTTGGAAATGGCGATGTTACTATAGATTGTTGTGGTTTTTGGGTGGTGGTTGTCGTGGAGATAGTGTAAAAGTGGTGGTGGTAGATCTGGTCATTTTGGTTTTCCGTGACTAAAAATATAATCTATGACCTTCAAATTCGATAACATGTGACTAAAAAATATAATTCGTGACCTTAAAATTCGATAACATGTGACTAAAAAATATAATCCGTGACCAATCATTTCGTTATATGTGACCTAAAAATTATATAATTTGTGACTGTTAAAACGTGGCCAAATAATTTCGAAATCTATGTTCGTGTGACCTCATGTGACTAAAAATATAATATGTAACTTTAAAATTCGGTAATATGTGACTCAAAATGTAATCTATGATCAAAAAATTATATAATCTGTGATCGTAAAAAAATCTGTGACTAACTAATTTGGAAGTATGTGACTGTGTGACCTATAAAAATGTTGTGACCAAAAATCAATATTAACATGTCACATNTGTGAAAGTTTTTTTCATATTTTTGAAATAGTATATAGTAAAAATCGGACAAATGAATTTTTGCCAAACTAATATCATGCAAGTGGGCCATTAGATATGGCCCATGTGGGGGAAGAAGCCCACTTTTCTTCTCGTTAAGGAAGCCATGGCCATTGGCCAGATCCCCAATCGAGAACTTGGCCCCCCTTGAACTTTTAAATTTTTAGAGATTGAATCCCAATAAATACGCAGAGAGTTCAAGCGTGCCGCTTCTTTTCGCTCTCCTCTCGAAGGAACGGAGTAGGAGTTATGGAGTCCTCTATGATTACTACTGTTACTGTACTATATTTTCTGGTGTTTCTCTCCGCTACTCGCGTGACTGCACTCATAGGTAACTCCCAAAAGTTCTTATTAATTGTGTCAGTTTTCGTTTTTCGTGGAGAATTTTGACTGTGTGTTTGCCCTAAGATACAGGTTTAATTCTAGTAAAACAGAATTGGCGAAAATGTTTATTTCGAGTATTATGTTTGTGTTTAGCTATATATTTATTTATATAATAATGTCTGCGTAGAGAATAAGCCGTTAATATGAAGCATTTTCGGTGGTTTTACTTTATGGTTAATTTGAATTATATGCGTTGCACCTTTTGGTGTTGCTCTCCACAGCTCGCACGACTGCAGTCGTAGGTAACTCCCATAGTTCCTAAAAAACCATGGCTGTTATTTGGGTAGAATTTTGATTGATCGTTTTATCAGTAATTATTTGCCCTAAGATTTAGTTTTATTCCGATTGAATAATTCGCTAACTGATTATTGATGTACATATATAGAAATATATTTATTCATGTAATAACATTTGCATAGAGAATGAGCCATTAATATGAAGCATTATCGGTGTTTTTTGTTTATGTTAATTCAAAATATTTTGTTGCTTTCTTGTGAATTTTGTTGTTGATTTTTTGTTGGATACCAAGGAATTAATTCTAACATAGTAACATATGAGATTAAAACTAGGTAAAAGTTTGTGTAATGCACCTTTTGGAACTTTAATGTTTATTGAATTTTATTACCGTTGACACTTTCCAAATGGGTTTTATTGTTAATTTTATAAAATTTTTTATCAGTCTGATTGAATTTTCTAAGCTGTAAAGTATGTAGAAAGCACTAAACTTGCAATAGTAAAAATTTAAAGGACTAATATGAGGTATTAATTTGAATACCGAATTAGTTGATCAAACAAAAAGAAATGCACTTTGATACATAATATGAGAAGAGGAGGAAAGAGTCTCTATGTATAACACAATTTGTTTTCTAGTGTTGGATAGAAGATACACTCATTAGCTGAATGGTACATGGCATGGCTGCATTTTCATGGTAATTGCTGACAATTTTTACCATTTTTGATAAAGGAGTATTTGGAAAAATTGGAAATTTGGTTGTTTCCTGTGTAATATCCACCAGTGATATCTAACGTTTCTATCTTTAATATTTCGCAGGTGTTGACGCTGAAAATCGAGCGGTAAATGTGTCTTTAGTCCCTCTTGTAGAATCTCCACACTATAAGGATGTTGTGCTATGCGAACGAATCCAAGTGTCTGGTCTATCAAGACTAAAACTTGGGAGTTATTCAAGTGCACGCCATGTCACCTTGGTCCCAATTCCGGGAAGACTTCATAAGAAATTTCAGATTTGTTTTCACAAGTAAGCTAAAACGAAAAAAGATTGCCCTTGAATTTTGGCATTTCGTGTGTTGAAATTTTCTGTCAGCAGACAATTGTACATCAAGATGAATCATTTTGCAGGAATTCTTCTCTTGGACTGTGTCATTGCGAGAATGATAGCTGGAAAAGCATGCAGAATGACTTGTTGAACTCTGTCATTTCACCATATGAGGACAAATACATTGATGTGAAGTTCGTCGGTGGCTTTTCTGCTTCTGAGCCTGTTTCTGTTACTGTAACTGTTGCAGAAGGTCATTCTCATGTCTGCTTATGCTTGAGTTTTGTGTAATCCTATCGTGTAGTATATTTTGACATCTCCATCCCTCTCTCTCACTGTTGCAGTGTTTCAGAGGTGGCGTCTGATTTGTCTTGCTTTTGGTATTGTACTATTGCTGCTTGCACCAATTGTTTGTAGCTGGGTTCCTTTTTATTACAGCAGTTCAATGGCTATTGGAGTTTGCCTTGTCGTCATAATCCTTCTCTTCCAGGTACCTACATTTATTTTGATTTGATTTGCTGTTACTTGGGTTTCCATTTCAACGATGATACTTCTTCTTTTTTTCCTCTTATTGAATTTCTTTTCATATCTCATTTTTTCCTCTAATATTTATTTGGTGTTGATCTATGTCTTCACTACGCTGTAAGTGGCATTCATAATGTACTGTGAAAGAAGTCTCATACGTTATGGAATATAAGGCTCCTACAAATTTTTGAGCATGAGGTATTACTGAAACTGTAAATGACTATGAGTTGTAGCATCTTGTTTCTTAATAATCGATTGCCTTAAGGTTCCCAAGGAAGAAGAAAAAGGAGGATCCAGACAGGAAATTGATTTATATAACTTAGACTGGAAGGAAATTGGTCTTTCCTGTGTTGGATTAATGAATTAGGTGGTATATGGGCTTCTTAGTCAATTTTTAATTATAGAGGAAAACAAGGGTAAATGCAAGAGTTGAATTTTGAAGCCAACAGGAAGTCCCCAGAAAAATATAAAGGTGGCTTAAGAGATGAGGAGGGTAGAATGCTGATCTTTTGATTTGGGTGTTAGATGATGTGGGTGGCCTTCTTGGCCTATCTTACCTTGCATCTTCAAGGAAAGGGTTATAACTAATCTTAGGTGGAATAGCTATTGTTGATCTTTTTCTAGGGCTATAGCATATGAGAGTCGGCAAAGAAACATAATATTTATTTGTCATCTCTGTGGGACCACGAGAGTGCCCTTAAACAAATCACCTTTAACTGTCTTCTTTTCATTTTAACATATCTTTGTCTTCAGTTCTTTTCTGGTATGGTGAGATGTGAAATCTTATTCATGATACTTAGTACTCTACACCGTATTGCTCTACATTTTTCTGATTGTTTATGCACATTTTTAGATTTGACATGGATATAGGATTTTACAAGTTTGTTTGGAATAGCTGAAATTGTGTTGGCCAAATTGGATAACAGTGGAGCACCTTTTGGAAAATGGAAGAATGACGTATGAAAACCTGTTTAATTATTGTTTTCTCAATTTAATTCTTTACTTCATATAGAGAATAGTCAAAACATTGGACAACTCCATGCATGCATGCATGCATAATATCGTACCATTGGTTCCATTTATGTGCATTATAAATTTACGTAAAATGCATTACTGGACTTTAAAGAAAGACAATAATCTTTGTCACTAAGTGGTTGACCTTTTTTTGGAAAGCTTAATGCCATCTTTATTGCTTTATATTTACTAGCTTTCATTTGGTGGCTTCAGAGTTTTGCTCATTGTTTTTCAAAGAAATTTTCTTGTCAGGTTGATTTCTGAGCTGGTTTTCCCAACTCTGCCTCATCAAGTGTGGATGTTGCACTTTTAATTCATAGTTAATATTTACACTATCTGTGTTGCCTGTTTGCCTCTAGAATATAGAGTTTGTATTTTTTAATTATTTTCTGTATGAGCCAAAAGGTAAACAAGTGTTAAGTTGTTTGTGTCATATTCTAGATGGTCACAGTTCTTATTTTTACAGTTACACTTTTGCAAGTGTATACATCCATTCAGTATGCAGGTCTCCTTGTTGGGTGCTCTGGAATTGCTCTTCTTTTCTTAAGCAGACAGTGTTGTTGACCTTTGGTCATTTTACCATGCCATTAAAATAGCCATGCCTTTACTTTTGCATTATTGTGCAGGGGATGAAATTGTTGCCAACTGGCAGGAAAAACGCTTTCTACCTCATGATATATGGTTCAGTGGTCAGTATTCATTTGCGCTTTCTTTCTCAGATTGTCGGTCTATATAATATATTATTCGCCTAGCTTAGTTTGAATTGTTTTCCAGCTTGGTGCAGGATCTTTTCTAGTAAATCAATTCTCTGAGTTTGTCAACTCTATTCTTGTCAATTTTGGGATTAGCCATGAGATGCACAACCCTGTAAGTATTTATGCGTTTCATTTTGGATTGTTACTTTATGCAATAAAGACGTGATTGTTTTGGCTGGTAGTTTTGTATCTTTTGTTGACACGGATTTATATCTTTACAATATTTAAATGTAAGTAGGGAAGATTGCCACTCTCTCTTTATGAAAAGATAAAAAAAATTGCCATAATTCTTATGCATTTTTATTAGTTTCTTTCACTATATACTGTTGTTCTTTTCTTTTCTTTTGCTTTGATTATATACCCAAGATATTTCTCTACAGGTGGCTGTATTTTTGCTGGTTGGAATTATCCTTGCTGGAGCTGGTTTTGGATATTGGCTTGTACGGAAATTTGTTGTTTCAGAAGATGGAACCATAGATGTTGGCGTAGCTCAATTTGTAAAATGGGGGATACGGATAATCGGCGTGACTTTTATTTTCCAGGTTGGTTTTCAATGTACTTCTGTTATGTGGATAATTTTATAGGATGGTAGTCTTGCATATTCACAACAGTATGGCTGAAGGAACTTTTCTGGATAATCACACAAATCTATTTGCATTCTGATTTCTTAGTCTTTCATAGATATGCTCATCGCATTTTCTGTTCATCGACCTATGAATAATTCTTGCAGATAAAATACTTGTTATATCACTTTATGAAATTGCAGCCCATGTCTCCAGTAAGATTCATCTGTTTGCTCATGCCAAGTCAGTTTGATTGTAATGGTGGAATTAATAGTTAAAATGTCCTTTTTCACTTTCTTTTGGAACTTCTGGTGAGCTTTTAGTATGTGGTGCTACTCTGATTTTTGTAACTTGCAGATTATATCTTTTACATGTATGCCTTTTTTTTGTTTCTATTGTTTTGACTAATTAATTTCTGTGACATTCAATGCCAGAGCACACTTGATACTCCTTTGGCAGTGGCGCTACTTGGCACTTCTTTGGCAACTTACTACTCTATTACTTCTATAAAGTGGCTTCGCCCAAGGTATGCGCCTATGGTTCCTATTTATAACCTTCTAGTGTCATGACACAATAATTTTTATTCCCTTTATATTTTCACGCGATCTCGTCGTTGAGCCTACTTGAGCAAATTATGTGGTCAGTGGTTTCTGAAAATTTCAGTTTACTTGTCCTATTAGTGAAATTATGAGGCATTTCATGGAGCTATCTTGCAGTTATGTTAATCTATGTAGTCTCTACATCATCTTGTTAATGGTGTTAATGAGGAGAAAATAAACTCATTTTTAAACAACATAAATGAGGAACAGATTTTACTTTGAAGAGTTATTTGCTGTAAGTGTAACATTATGGTGCAGAGAATTTACTTATACTGGAAATAGGAGCTCATGGTCACGGAGTAACGGAAGAGCTAACAAGAACCCTAGGCAACGTGCAGAGTTCTTAAGCAGGTCTGGAGCAATGAAAACTCGAGGAGCTCTATGGAATAGCCCCAACAGTCCATCCACATGGTCTGGTTCACCAGTTAAAGGTACATGTCCGGTATCCCCTTTCCTTTTTTTTTACACTCTTTCTTTACTTCATAGATTACACCAAAATGATATGTTTGTTGTATATTGGTGGGCATATATTCACGTAGTGTATGTACAAGTATTGAAAACAGAAAACTTCTATGGATAATATGGTTCAGTAGTAGATTCAATCTTCATGCTATGGTATTATTTTTGGTAAGTAAAGTATACATATTAAAGAGACTGCAAAAAATTACTCTGCCCAAAGGATTTAGGTTTTGGGAGATGGGTACTTCCAAAATCTGTACTATTGATTGAAGCGAGTCATTCTGAGAAGCACCAAGTCTGTTCATACATTGAGAGGCTGAGGATATTTACTTAAAAGTAGCAGTACTTTTTGAATATATATATATATATATATATATATATAGTAAACTAAAAGTATACTCAATAACATTTTCATGCTTAGCCAAATGGCTACTAGAGTTGAAATGTAAAATTTTTGGAAAGGACAAAGCAATGAAAAACTGTTATAATCTAAATTTTATTCAAATTATATATTTTAATGCATTGGAGTTTTAGTAAAAATTAGCCTTATCCTTTCTTCCCGCCTCAGAAAAATTCATCTTGGATGGATTTATTGGAGAGTTTAGAAAATAGAGTTGAGAGAGGTTTTTTCTTTTTTTTTAGAACACGTTACATTCAAGTTTGTCAGCTCGAGATAATATAGCTCAGATGGTGGAGCATAGCTCTTGTCATTGAATGGTTTACAATTTGGAAGTATAATTGTCCCAGCAATAGTATTTTGTACTTGAACTAGTCTCTTTATGTTTAATGAAGTTTTTATTTACAAACGTAGAGATCGTTTTAGAAATTGAGAGAGGTTTATATATATATATATATTTGGGAACACGTTGCATTCAAGTTTGTCAGCTCGAGATAATATAGCTCAGACGGTGGAGCACAGCTCGTCATTGAATGGTTTACATGTTGGATGTATAATTGTCCCAGCAATAGTATTTTGTACTTGAACTAGTCTCTTTATGTTTAATAAAGATTTTATTTACAAACGTCGAGATTGTGCTTGATCTTGGTTGCTCCAGGTATCTTGTCAACATCTAATCAGAGGGGTACAAGAGATCGCCAGGACTATTATTCAACCTTTCACAGGACACCTAACAAGAAGTTCTCCAAGGAAGATTGGAAGGATTTCACAGAGGAATCTACTCGGCATGCAGTCACGGAGTTGACATCTTCTCCCGAATTCACTGATTGGATAATCAAGCACTCTGATAGGATCCAAGTCCTCCCGAATGATAGTTCTGATTCAAGCGGAAGTGGGTTCGATTCAACAAATGAAAATGCTGCAGAGAGCAGCAGCGGGCTTAGTTTCTTTAATTGGAATATGCATAAGTAGAGATCACATCAACTGGGGTTTATCAAATGGATCAGAGATGCACTAGTCTCGCTCTCTGTCTGTACAGGGTAGGGTGTGGGTGGGAGATTTTCATGTTTTTATTATGTTGGAAAGTTTTAACCTAGATCCACCAGATTTGTTAGTACTATTCAAACTTATGTATGAATTTTGATTTTTATTATCGAGGAAGAGTCATCAATCGATGTAGAGTTGCACGTGTTTCTCAATATGTAGACAAAGAAAGGAAAATAGTTATAGGTACGAGTATTTACCATCTTTAATTTTTACTTTTTTAGTATATTGTTCAGTACGATTAATATAACTAGTCGAAATTCTGAACCGACCCGATGTAATGAGGTGAAACTTGATTGAAATGAGCACTATACAAATCTATTGTATTATTTAGTTCTAGTCACTCTTTATCTCAAATTGAATACAGATGTTTCTATTTCGAGAAATATGTTTTTGAAATGGTATATATACCTTTTAAAATTAGTTTTACGAGTTTGTAGTTCTCTTTATGCAGCATTGTGATAGGATTGTCAGCGCCTCGTAAAAGGAGTATACTTATATATATATTAATAATTGATATCTAATTCTGTAGTATTTTAATCAAGGAAAATGCTATGGGTACATACCCATAGGGTGTCGATCATAGACATCCGGCCCCTATGGGTACACTTATGTACCTATACTTTAATCAATTGAGAAGAAAACTTTAATCAATTGAGAAGAAAGCAGACCAAAAAAATAAATTACAATTTCCCAATAATAAGGAAATAAATAGTAATAATTTGAAGGCAAATGAAATTGAGTGTGTTTTAAAGCACTTCAAAAAGCCTTTTTATAGCATGAAGAGTCGTGTTCTTAAAAAGCTCATTTTTGTAACGTGCCCTGAAGGCTGCATAGAGTAAAATGTTTGAATGGTCACTAAATTTTAATATGGTAATGACTTACTCACTAAACTTCAAATTATCTCTTAATGATCACTGAACTTTCTGTCGTTGCACCAAATCCATCACTCACCAAATTCCTTTAGAATTGCGGACGGAAAACACACATGGCAGGTGACGACCGTTAAAAAATGACAACTCAGGGAAAACATTATTTCATTACTCATCTAACTTACATTTTGTCACATTTCACTCATTGAACTTCAAAATGTTTCTCAATGGTCATTCATCTTTGAAATATTTCACTCTATTCATCATCCGCATATTTTGTTCCCTTCATTCCTAATGTTCGCACAAAAATTCCACAGGTAAGTTACAAATGTTAAAAAAAATTGCAACTCAACAAAATTATCATATATGAAACGTGACTTCCACGGCCCCATCAACTTCTTTAAAACTAAATAAAGCGTCCCCAATGATTCTTTTAGATATGTCATTTTTCTAATTCGAACGTTTGCTATGCAAAAAAATAGGTTTCAATCTGATATTTCTAAAAAAATCATTGGGGACGCTTTATTGAAAAATTTGTTTTTTCTAAAAGAATCATTTTTTCAATAAAGCGTCCCCAATGATTTTTTTAGAAATATTATATTGTAACCTTTTTTTTTTTTTTTGCATAGCAAACGTTCGAATTAGAAAAATGACATATCTAAAAGAATCATTGGGGACGCTTTATTTAGTTTTAAAGAAGTTGATGGGGCCGTGGAAGTCACGTTTCATATATGATAATTTTGTTGAGTTGCAATTTTTTTTAACATTTGTAACTTACCTGTGGAATTTTTGTGCGAACATTAGGAATGAAGGGAACAAAATATGCGGATGATGAATAGAGTGAAATATTTCAAAGATGAATGACCATTGAGAAACATTTTGAAGTTCAATGAGTGAAATGTGACAAAATGTAAGTTAGATGAGTAATGAAATAATGTTTTC